ACAGTTTGCAAATGCCATGGCAATGTCAGGAAGTTACCCTATATGGTCTAAAAAGGGGAGGCTTGAAGAATCCACCCCTTGTTTAGCATATCATCAAGAAATAACTGGCCAGCCATGGTGGTTCACACCTGTAATTCCAGCACTTTGGGAGGCCGAAGTCAGTGAAACACTTGAGACCAGGAGTTCAAGACCAGCCTGTCCAACATGGTGAAATCCCATCTCTAATAAAAGAAAAATTAGCCAGGCGTGGTAGCATGTGTCTGTAATCCCAGCTACTCGGGAGGCTGAGGCAGGAGAATAGCTTGAACCCAGGAGGTGGAGGTTGCAGTGAGCTGAGATTGCACCACTGCATTCCAGCCTGGCAGCAGAGCCTAACAACAGCCCTGAGGGCTGCTCTGTCTATGCAGTAACCATTCTTTTATTCCTTTGCTTTCTTAGTATACTTGCTTTCACTTTATGGACTCATTCTGAATTCTTTCTTACATGAAATCCAAGAACCCTTTCTTGGGGTCTGAATTTGGACCCCTTTCTGGTAACACCACTACTATGGTTTGAATGTTGTCAATGTGTACTGAGAACTGGGGCCTTTAAGACGTGATTAAGGACAAGCACAGTGGCTCACACCTGTAATCCCAGGACTTTTGGAGGCTGAGGAGGGTGGGTCACCTGAGGTCAGGAGTTGGAGATCAGCCTGGCCAATATGGTAAAACCCCATCACTACTAACAATACGAAAAGTGGAGGAGCGTGGTGGTACACACCTGTAATCCAAGCTACATGGGAGGCTGAGGCAGGAGAATTGCTTGAACCTGGGAGGTGAGGTTGCAGTGAGCCAAAGGCCACTGCATTCCAGCCTGAGCAATAGAGCAAGACTGTGTCTTAAAAAAAAGGGGTGATTAGGACATGAGAGTACATCCCTCATGAATGGGAATAAGGCTATTTTAAAAGAAGTTTCACATAGCATTTGGCTAATTTGCTTTTCCACTCTTATGCCACATGAAGGACACGGCATTTGTCTCTATTTACCTTTCCACCTTCACCTATGTGAGGACCACTAAAAAAGGCCCCCATCAGATACTAACACTCTCGGGCTTCCCAGCCTCCAGAACTGTGAGAAAATAAATTGCTATTCTTTATAAATTACTCGGTCTTGGGTATTCTGCTACACCAGCACAGACTTCAGACAGCCACTTACTGGCTATCTTACCTTCCTCTGACCATGTTTTTGTCATCATCTGTAAACTGGAGATAATAATGCCCACTGGGCCAGGTGTGGTGGCTCATGCCTGTAATCCTCGCACTTTGGGAGGCCAAGGCAGGCGGATGACAAGGTGAAGAGACCAAGACCATCCTGGCCAACATGGTGAAAGCCTGTCCCTACTAAAAATACAAAAATCAGCTGGGCGTGGTGGCGTGCACCTGTAGTCCCAGCTACTTGGGAGACTGAGGCAGGAGAATCGCTTCAACCCGGGAGGTGGAGGTTGAAGTGAGCCACGATCCTGCCACTGCACTCCAGCCTGGAGATAGAGTAAGACTCTGTCTCAAAAATAAATAAATAATGTCCACTTACCCAGTAGGTTTTTGTTTTTGTTTTTTGACATAGAGTTTCATTGGAGTGCACTGGCAAGATCTTGGCTCACTGCAATCTCTGCCTCCCAGGTTCAAGAGATTCTCCTGCCTCAGCCTCCCAAGTAGCTGGGATTACAGGCATGTGCCACCACACCTGGCTTATTTTTGTATTTTTAGTACAGACAGAGTTTCACTATGTTGGCCAGGCTGGTCTCCAACTCCTGACCTCAGGTGATCCACCTGCCTTGGCCTCCCAAAGTGCTGGGAGTACAACTGTGAGCAACCATGCCAGGCCATACCCAGGAATTTTTTGTGTGCTTCAAATGAGTTAAGTATAGGCCAGGTGTGATGGTGGACACCTGTAATCTCAGCTACTTGGGAGGCTGAGGTAGGAGAATCTTGAACCCGGGAGCTGGAAGTTGCAGCGAGCCAAGATCATGCCAGTGCAGTCCATCCTGGGCGACAAAATGAGATTCCGTCTCAAAAAAGTAAAATAAAATAAAAATAAAATGAGTTAGTACAGGTGAAGCACTTAGAACAGTCCCTGGCACATTAATAAGACTATATAAGGGTCAGATATGATTATAGCACACCCACATTTTGGGCTGAAAACAGTATCTCATGCACCATTATCACACTTTGCAATTATACATTTATTTATGTAATTATAGTAATGCCTGATGCATTCATTAAGCTGGAAGCTCACAAGGCCAAGAACCACCTGGGCACTGCAAACTGACTTCATCTGGCTGATTCTAGGCTTCTCCTATTTGCAGAAGTACGTAGGATAAATTAGCTTTCCTTTAACAATAAAGAGAAAGGAGGTCGAGGAATAGGGGAAGGATAGCATTAGGAGAAAAACTTAATGTAGTGATTGGGGGATGGATGCAGCAAACCACCGTGGCACCTGTGTATACCTATGTAACAACCCTGCACTTTCCGCACATGTACCCCAGAACTTAAAGTAAAAAAAAAAAAAAAAAACAATAAAGAGAAGAATCTGATCTGTCCTGAAATGTGTATGTGTATAGGAGAGATGTATCCCAGCCATGGAAATGTGTGACTGGGGCTGGGCACGGCGGCTCATGCCTGTAATCCCAGCACTGTGGGAGGCCAAGGTGGGTGGATCACCTGAGGTCAGGAGTTCCAGACAAGCCTGGCCAACATGGTGAAACCCTGTCTCTACTGAAAATACAAAAATCAGCCAGGCATGGTCGCACATATGTAATCCGAGCTACTTGGGAGGCTGAGGCAGAAGAATCTTTTGAACCCAGGAGGCAAAGGTTGCAGTCAGTTGAGATCACATCACTGCACACTCGAGCCAGGGAAACAGAGCAGGACTTCATCTCAAAAAAATAAATAAATAAAATAAAATAAAACCAGGCCGGGTACAGTGGTGCATGCCTGTAATCCCAGCACTTTGGCGGGCAGAGGTGGACAGATCACGAGGTCAAGAGATTGAGACCATGCTGGCCTAGATGGTGAAACCCCATCTCTACTAAAAATACAAAAAACAGCTGGGCGCTGTGACGGGCACCTGTAACCCCAGCTACTCAGGAGGCTGAGGCAGGAGAATCGCTTGAACCCGGGAGGCGGAAGTTGTAGTGAGCTGAGATCTTGCCACTGCGCTCCAGAGCAAGACTGTCTCAAAAGAAGAAAAAATGTGTTGCTGAGATCTGCAGAATGCTGTACTTTTTTTTTTTTTTTTTGTCTCTTAGTAAGTCAAGAGTTTAGAGGGCTCTAGTGAGAAGATTGTCACGTTAGCACATTCAAGGTGAAGAGTATCAGCTAGGATGAGCAAGGTTGTTTGCAACCACTGACTGTGTGGAAGGGGTCTGTGTTAAATGCTACACAGAGAACACCATCAGGGACCTTAAGAAGCTGATGATTGGCTGGGCGCGGTGGCTCAAGCCTGTAATCCCAGCACTTTGGGAGGCCGAGGCGGGTGGATCACGAGGTCAAGAGATCGAGACCATCCCGGTCAACATGGTGAAACCCCCGTCTCTACTAAAAATACAAAAAATTAGCTGGGCATGGGGGCGCGTGCCTGTAATCCCAGCTACTCCAGAGGCTGAGGCAGGAGAATTGCCTGAACCCAGGAGGCGGAGGTTGCGGTGAGCCGAGATCGTGCCATTGCACTCCAGCCTGGGTAACAAGAGCGAAACTCCATCTCAAAAAAAAAAAAAAAAAAAAAAAAAAGAAGCTGATGATTACAGCCCAGACCAGGGCTATAACAAGAACAGCTTTTCAGGGACAAGACTGTCCTGAATAAGTGGTATACAATTTTTAAGGACCATATATCACTAGGGGACTATAAAATGCAGTAGGAGATGAAACTGGAGCTTTTTTTTTTTTTTTTTTTTTTTGAGACGGACTCTAGCTCCGTGGCCCAGGCTGGAGTGCATTGCAATCTCAGCTCACTGTAACTTCCGCCTCCCCAGGTTCAAGCCATGCTCCTGCCTCAGCCTCCTGAGTAGCTGGGATGACAGTCACCCGCCACTGCCCCCAGCTAATTTTTGTATTTTTAGTAGAGATGGGGTTTCACTGTCTTGGTCAGGCTGGTCTTGAACTCCTGACCTAGTGATCCACCTGCCTTGGTCTCCCAAAGTGCTGGGATTACAAGCATGAGTCACCACACCTGGCCTTTTTTTTTTTTTTTTTTTCTTTTGAGACAGAATCTGGCTCTGTTACCCAGGATGGAGTGCAATGGTGCCATCTCAGCTCACTGCAACCTCTACCTCCCGGGTTAAAGTGATTCTCCTGCCTCAGCCTTCAAGTAGCTGGCATTACAGGCACCTACCACCATACCCAGCTAATTTTGTATTTTTAGTAGAGATGGGTTTTCACCATGTTGGCCAGGCTGGTCTTGAATTCCTGAGCTCAGGTGATCTGCCTACCTTGGCTTCCCAGGGTGCTGGATTATAGGCGTGAGGGCCAGAACTGGAGCTTTATTATCAACAGATTAGAATTCTTTTTCCCTGTCCCACTTTTCTTTCTTTTTTTTTTTTTTTTTCTGAGACGGAGTTTCGCTCTTGTTACCCAGGCTGGAGTGCAATGGCGCGATCTCGGCTCACCGCAACCTCTGCCTCCTGGGTTCAGGCAATTCTCCTGCCTCAGCCTCCTGAGTAGCTGGGATTACAGGCACACACCACCATGCCCAGCTAATTTTTGTATTTTTAGCAGAGACGGGGTTTCACCATGTTGACCAGGATGGTCTCGATTTCTTGACCTCGTGATCCACCTGCCTTGGCCTCCCAAAGTGCTGGGATTACAGGTGTGAGCCACTGCGCCCGGCCCCCTGTCCCACCTTTCTGTCTCACCCTCACCCCCCACAGTGGTATACGTGCTTGTTTTGTTTTGTTTTTTTTTAAGCTTCACTATTAGTCCAGAACATGCTTGTTTTTAAAAACTCATGTTAATAAAAACTTAGATGTCAGAAAAAGAAAAAAAGAGTTTAATCATGAAACCAAGGAAGTTTCTACAGTTAAGTTCCCAACAGTAACCAAGAGGAATATATCTAACATAAAGAGTTTCCAGGATTAGAGGACAAAAGCTGTATCAGCAACTGAAAAATATAGTTATTCTAAAGAGATCTGACACACCATCTATTCTGACAAAAGATTTTTTAAGTGGCACTGCATGAGTCGAAATGGTTAATTACCTAGCAGAAATTGATTTCTCTATCTCCATGACACTCAACGCAGCTGGCAGGCTATTGCAATAGTCATTCGTTTTTGTGGTGACGAGAATGGTTGCGCCTTCCTCCATGGCTGGGAGTGGAAAGCAATGGTCAGAATCGACCTTTGGTTTGTTCTTGACACAGTCTTCACAGGTACATTCTTCCACCGTGTACTGCAGGCCTCTCGGAAGAATAATTTCATCACCAGTCCCGGTCTTTTCCAGGTCGACATTAGCCATGCCCAGGAGACCTGATCCTGGTAATACAGAAACGGAAACATTAACCCTAAGCGTCAGAGTGTGGTCAAGAGAGTCTTAGCAGTACACATCGGGACTCAAAGCAATGTGAGACAAATTTTTTCATTTTGTAGAGATGGGCTCTTACTGTGTTGACAGGCTGCATTCAAACTCCTGGGCTCAAGTAATCCTCCCATGTTAGCCTCCAGAGTAGTTGGGACTACAGCTCCATGCCACTGCACCCAGCTTGAAACAGATCTTTTCATTAAAAAATAATCGACCGGACTCGGTGGCTCACGCCTATAATCCCAGCAGTTTGGGAGACCGAAGCAGGTAGATCACGAGGTCAAGAGATCGAGACCATCCTGGTCAACATAGTGAAGCCCCGTCACTACTAAAAATACAAAATATTAGCTGAGCATGGTGGCGCATGCCTGTAATCCCAGCTACTCAGGAGGCTGAGGCAGGAGAATTGCCTGAGCCCAGGAGGTGGAGGTTCCGGTGAGCCGAGATCGCGCCATTGCACTCCAGACTGGGTAACAAGAGCGAAACTCCGTCTCAAAAATAATAATAATAGTAATAATAATAATAATAATGCGTATAGGCTGGGCACAGTGGCTCACGCCTGTAATCTCAACACTTTGGGAAACCAAAGTGGGCAGTTCACTTGAGATCAGGAGTTTGAGACCATCCTGGCCAACATGATGAAACCCCGTCTCTACCAAAAAGTACAAAAATTAGTCGGATATGGTAAGACATACCTATAGTTCCAGCTACTCAGGAGGCTCAGATGGGAGAACTGTTTGAACCCAAGAGACAGAAGTTGCAGTGAGTTGAAATCACACGACTGCACTCCAGCCTGGGCCACAGAGTAAGACTCCATTTCAAAATAAGTAAATAGGTGCATATAGAAATAGGGCACTGGCTATACATGTTTGGGAATGCAATCAAGAGCAAAGGTGCTACGTAAGTATTTTTATCTTAAGAGGCACTTAAGTAGAACATTTACTTTTCTGAGACTGGTTCTTTATTGCTTAAAAAAGATAATTATTAGCTGGGCACAGTAGCTCAAGCCTGTAATCCCAGAACTTTGGGAGGCCGAGGCGGGTGGATCACAAGGTCAAGAGATCAAGACCATCCATGATCAACATGGTGAAACCCCATCTCTACTAAAAATACAAAAAAAATTAGCTGGGCATGGTGGCGCGTGCCTATAATCCCAGCTACTCAGGAGGCTGAGGCAGGGGAATTGCCTGAACCCAGGAGGCGGAGGTTGCGGTGAGCCGAGATCGTGCCATTGCACTCCAGCCTGGGTAACAAAAGCGAAACTCCGTCTCAAAAATAAAAATAAATAAAAATAAATAAAATTAAAAAGATAATTATTTTTTAGATGATTGCTCAAATAATCTAGGAGCAACTGGTTATTCATTGCTAACATTTTTCAGTAGCAAAATGTCCACCCAAGCAAATAACACTAAAATTTGTATAAAAACATGGACATAGATCTTGACAAGTATGTTTTTCCCGACAGTAGCACACCTGGTTAGGAGTTTCTGATAATGTGGCATTTAATTGATGTACTAACATTAGTCAAAGAGACTGATGTTTCCCAAGAAAGCATTAGTACTTTCCATAGTGTAATTACCAAGGGAAGAATCCTGGGAAGGTTGACTTCGTAGAAAACCTGCCAAGCTGTCAAAATCAGAATGAAGATGTCTCACCTCCACCAAGTTCATTTAATGTTAACTATTTTCCAACATACTAGAAAGGGCTGCAACCAAGTGAAATAGTCAACACTAAAAAAAGAAAAGGAACTGAAACTTACAATAGCCATCTCCTGGAAATAGATTTCAAAGATTCACCAAGGAACCAACCTGTGTTTTTAAATTTGTCCTTTAATGGTTCAGAGCTCATCTTCCTTAGCAAAAACATTAACACAAAAACTGCCAAAGAAATTATCAAGCTGAGTCCCAAACAGGTCCAGAGAATCGCATTTGTTCCTTTCACTGAATTGGTCCCACCTTTATGAAAAGAGAGTCAGACAGATAATGAGCTGATAGCGTAATATTCACGTACTTTATTATTTATTTATTTATTTATTTATTTTTGAGACAAAGTCTTGCTCTGTTTTCCAGCCTGTAGTGCAGTGGCATGATTTCGGCTCACTGCAACCTCCGCCTCCCGGGTTCAAGCGATTCTCGTGCCTCAGCCTCCCAAGTAGCTGAGATTACAGACTTGCACCACCACACCTGGCTAATTTTTGTATTTTTAGTAGAGATGGGGTTTCACCATGTTGGCCTGGCTGGTGTCAAACTCCAGACCTCAGGTGATCCACCCACCTCCCCCTCCCAAAGTACTGGGATTACAGGCATGAGCCACTGCACTGGGATGATTTTTGCTATCAAAATAATCAGGTATGAATTATTTCCATTTAATCACCTTAATTAATGAACATCAACTTTTAAATTCTAAATATCACTTAATTAGAAGAGTTGATTTTTTTTAAAAAAATCTATGTTGCTAATAGTCCTGAATCATGTAGAGTTCAGTCCCAAATAATTACTTGGTTTCCGTAAACATTAAAATCATTGCCTTGTTTCCTTTCTCTTTTTGATTCAAAAAAATCTCACCATCATGACCATTACATTGATTCTCTGAATAAATAGTCCGTATAGACAGAATAGTTAACACCAATGAGTAATCATTCAAGCAATATTACTTACTTGCATTACAATAACGTTGACATGTTAGAGGAGGAGTATTAGAACATCGAAGTTGACAAGGTTTGCAAGCATGCAACAAACTGTCAAAATATTCATTTTGGGAGCACTGCCGAGCCATCTGCAACATAATCACAAAAAGAAAACAAGGGAGCTACAGAAAGAACACTCTAGAAGGACAAGTAATGTCTCTACAGGAATTCCAGACCAAATGCAGCAACAGCAGCTAGAAAGTCTAGGAGAATAATGAACTTCACCTGTCTCGTGGGTTCTTAGTGGGGCCGTCTGTTTCTTTGTGGTGGCTAAGGATTTGAATACCACATCTAACTCAAGTTTCTAAGTTTGAGTCTTGTATGGGGTAAGAGATGGGGTGTAAATATCAGGGCAAGTCACATCAGAAACAGAAACTGTTTATTTATAGAAGAAATTTCTCAGCCAGGTGACAGTTGCAAGATGCAGACAAGCCCACAGCATCAAGCCGAACGTTCGGTAACAGTTTCTGGAACATCTGTTAACGAGCTGTACTATGTGAGAGGGGCCAAGGAGACAGACAAGACAAGGTCTGTGCTGTGCCTCTTCAGATCTTAACATTGAGGCCAGGCACGGGGCTCACACCTGTAATCCCAGCACTTTGGAGGCCAAGGCAAGAGGATTGCTTGAGCTCAGGAGTTCAAGACCACCCTGGGCAACAGGGCAAAACCCCATCTCCACAGAAACATTTTAAAAATTAGTCTGGTGTGGCTCACACCTGTAATCCCAGCACATTGGGAGGCCAAGGTGGGTGGATCACTTGAGGTCAGGAGTTCGAGACCAGCCTGGTCAACATGGTGAAACACTGTCTCTACTAAAAATACAAAAATTAGCTGGGCGTGGTGGCGGACGCCTGTAATCCCAGCTACTTGGCAGGCTGAGGCCGGGAGAATTGCTTGAACCTAGGAGGCGGAGGTTGCAGTGAGCTGAGATCCTGCCTGAGTGACAGCAAGACTCTCTCTCCCCCCCCAAAAAAAATGCAGGAAAATCAGAGGTGATACACTAAGGAAGACTCACAATGCCACTGACAGAAAAAGGGACATTTGGGGTAAGACATTTGTGGAAAGAGGGTTGAAGGGAAGATAGGTTTGGGATATTATAACAATACAATAATCTACGTTCCATTGTTGAAAATTTAGAAAACACACATGAGCAGATAAAAAACCATTTTTAAAAAATCCACAGTCCATGGCCAAGCAGAGTGAATAGCTCATGCCTGTAATCCCAGCATTTTGGGAGGCCGAGGCAAGCGCATCATGAGGTCAGGAGTTTGAGTCCAGCCTGACCAACACGGTGAAACCCCGTCTCTACTAAAAATACAAAAATTAGCAGGGCATAGTTGGGCGTGCCTGTAATCCCAGTTACTTAGGGGGCTGACACAGGAGAACTGCTTGAAACTGGCAGAGGTTGCAGTGAGCTGAGATCATGTTGTTGTACTTCAGCCTGTTGACAGAGCAAATCTCAGCCTTAAAAAAAAAAAATCCACACTCCAAGCATTCAGAAATAATCACTGCTAACACCTGGTATATTCTAGAAGTTGCAAACAGGACTGCTAATGGAAGTTTTCTTTTGTTTGACCGATCCCTGATGTATATCCCTCCAGAAGGAATTCTAGAAAGATAGATTTATAAAGTGCCTTTTCTTGTTTACATAAATGGATCACTTGAGTTTGCTTTTTTTTTTTTTTTTCAGATGGAGTCTCACTCTGTCGCCAGGCTGGACTGTAGTGGCTCGATCTTGGCTCACTGCAAACTCTGCCTCCCAGGTTCAAGCAATTCTCCTGCCTCAGCCTCCTGAGTAGCTGGGATTACAGGTGCACACCACCACTCCCAGCTGATTTTTGTATTTTTAGTAGAGACAGGATTTCACCATGTTGGGTCAGGCTGGTCTTGAACTGCTGACATCAGGTGATCCACCTGCCTCGGCCTCCCAAAGTGAGCCTCTCAAAGTGCTGGGATGACAGGCATGAGCCACCTTGCCTGGCCAATAACTCTTATTTTAAAAATTCATATTATTAAAAAAATAAGTATTCAAACAATACCAAAGATTTTTTCTTTTCTTGTCAACTCAACATGGATTAGACAAAGATTTTTCAATGAAAAGTAAGTCTTTTTCCTATTCTAGATTTCCTGTCTCTTGCCAGAGGCAGTAATTATTATCAGTCTCTTTTCTCCCTTTTTTTTTTTCTTTTTGTTTTTGAGGCGGAATCTCGCTCTGTTGCCCAGGCTGGAGTGCAATGGCGCAATCTTGGCTTACTGCAACCTCTGCCTCCTGGGTTCAAGCAATTCTCCTGCCTCAGCCTCCTGAGTAGCTGGGATTACAGGCACCCACCACCATGCCCAGCTAATTTTTTTGTATTTTTAGTAGAGATGGGGTTTCACCATGTTGGCCAGGCTGGTCACAAACTCCTGACCAGTGATTTGCTCGCCGCCTCGGCCTTCCAAACTGTTGGGATTACAGGCGTGAGCCACTGTGCCTGGCCTTTTTTTTTTTTTTAGGCAGAGTGTTGCTCTGTTGCCCAGGCTGGAGTGCAGTGGCAGCATCAGGGCTCACTGCAGCCTCCGCCTCCTGGCCTCAAGCAATCCTCCCACCTCAGCTTCCTCAGTAGCTAGGACTATGTGCATGCCACCTTGCCTGGCAAATTTTTGCATTTTTTGTAGAGATGGGATTTCATCACGTTGCCCATGCTGGTCTCGAACTCCTGGGCTCAAGTGATCCTCCTGCCTTGACCTCCCAAAGTGTTGGGATTACGGGTGTGAGCCACAGTGCCTGGCCACTGTCATTCTTCTATCTTTCCAAATAGAGCCTTTGTTTATGTCTGACTATTCAGACTCAGCCTATTTTATTTGTATCCACCCAGGAGGCAGATACAGTATATTATATAATTGTTCATACCTTGCTTTTTTTTTTTTTTTTTTTTTTGGAGACAGAGTCTCAGGCTGGAATGCACTGGCACAAGAGAATCACCTCCCAGGTTCAAGCCATTCTCTTGTTTCAGCCTCCCTAGTAGCTGGGATTACAGATGTGTGTCTCCAGGCCCGGCTAATTTTTATATTTTTAGTAGAGACGGGGTTTCACTATGTTGGCCAGGCTGGCCTCCAACTGACCTTAAGGAATCCACCCGCCTTGGCCTCCCAAAGTTCTGGGATTACAGGCGTGAGCAACTGCTCCCTGCCACTTTTTATATTTTTAAAGTAGTAAATAAACATTAAAATCATGACAATAAAATAAAATGCAGACATTTAAAACAACACATTTTTTTTAAATGCAGGACTTGAGCCTAGGAAAGGTTTTGAATTTAGATATTGCTCAAAACCTCAAATTCCTCTGGGGTCCAGGCGGTAAGGTAAGTGGGTGAGGCTGCCTGGGTGGGACAGGGAGAAGCTGAAGCAGCCGGCCTGGGGCTCCATTCCCTCAGCTTCTGCTAGATGCTGTCCTTTGGAAGACAGGCAAAGAAGGGAAAAACATGATTAGAGAAATAGGGAGAGAACAAAAATTATCTCCCAGGCTGGGCGCAGTGGCTTATACTTATAATCCCAGTACTTTGGGAGGCTGAGGCGGGCGGATCACCTGAGGTCAGGAGTTCGAAACCAACCTGGCCAACATGGTGAAACCCCATCTCTACTAAAAATACAAAAATTAGCCAAGCGTGGTAGCACATGCCTGTAATACCGACTACTCGGGAGGCTGAGGGAGAGTACCGTTTGAACCCCGGAAGCAGACATTGCAGTGAGCCAAGACTGCACCACTGTACTGCAGCCTGGATGACACAGTGAGACCCTATCTAAAAAAAAAAAAAAAAAAAAAAATTATCTCTCATAAGAGTTAAGCAAGGAAAGGTTTTAGTCTGGGATAGGAAGTGGAGTGAAATTCTACAGAAGGATCAGAGGCAGTGCACCAAGGAAGCAGGTCATTGGTGGCCTTTGAGTGTATCCCTGGTGCAAGCTAAATGGTAGATATTTAAGGACTGGTGAGGAAGAGGAGGCAGCCAATAGGAGCCATGCCTGGGGCCAGGCGCGGTAGCTCACGCCTGTAATCCCAGCACTTTGGGAGGCTGAGGCAGGCAGATCACCTGAGGTCAGGAGTGCCAGACCTGCCTGGCCAACATGGTGAAACCTGATCTCTACCAAAAATACAAAAAATTAGCTGGGCATGGCGGCGCATGCCTGTAATCCCAGTTACTTAGGAGCCTGAGGCAGACAAATCACTTGATCCCAGGAGCTGGAGGTTTCAGTTAGCTGAGATCATACTACTGCACTCCAGCCGGGGCAACAGAGCAAGATTCACACACAAAAAAAAAAAAAAAAAAAAAGGAGCCATGCTTGGAAGCCAGGACAAGCAGGAGGAAGAAAGCTTTGATAACTCTTAGGAAAGAGATACACTTGCTCAGTGCTTAAAATCACATGTAGTTCACTGCAGCATCACATCCGTTCCTAAGAGCCAAGAACAACCTAACTGTCCATCACTGGGAGCCTCATAATGGAAGACTATAAGGCCATCAAAAAGAATGAGACAAGCCAGACACAGTGACTCACACCTATAATCCTTTGGGATTATAGGTGTGTTTGGGAGGTCGAGGTGGGCAGATCACAAAGTCAAGAGTTCAAGACCAGCCTGGCCAACATAGTGAAACCCCATCTGTACTAAATATACCAAAAAAAAAAAATTAGCCAGGTGTGGTGGCAGGCACCTGTAGTCCCAGCTACCTGGGAGGCTGAGGCAGGAGAATCGCTTGAACCTGAGAGGCAGACGTTGCAGTGAGCCTACATTGGGCCACTGTACTCCAGCCTGGGCAAAAGAGTGAGACTGTCTCAAAAAAAAAAGAAAAGAAAAATAATGAGACAGATGTGTTCTTATATAAAAGATAAATCATGAAGTGAAAAACACAAAGTACAGACTGGGCACAGTGCCTCATACCTGTAATGCCAGCATTTTGGTAGGCCAAGGTAGAAGGATCACTGGAGCCCATGAGGTCGAGACAGTCCGGGCAACACAGGGAGATCCCATCTCTACAAATAATTTTAAAATTAGCCAGGTGTGGACTGGGCGCAGTGGCTCACACCTGTAATCCCAGCACTTTGAGAGGCTGAG